TTTGATTTGATCAACAATGATCTACAATAAGCTACAAAAATTTGAAGATGTTAACAACTTAGCAACAAGAAATAGTCAATCCCTAAATATACCCCACCACTCAACATCGTTATACAAGAAAAGTTGTTCATACATTGCGACAATCTATCAACTGAGTAACCGCAATTACAGACTAATAAATTTTAAACTAAAAGCTATGCTTCTATCCACCTCCTCTACCTGATGATAATGAGATCAATTTTAAAAATTCAACAATAATAAAACTGACTATGATTTTTCGAGTCATATCATATGTACATCATGATTTTATATCAAACGACTTAAAATTTAAACATGTTTACTTATATAGACTTAAACTTTATTAGGCTATTATCACAAATCACATGTATGGTATTCATTAATTTACGACACTTTTCTTATTCATGTTTGTAATTTTATTTTATGGCTGAGTTGAAAAATACCTTAAGGTAACACTTCGTCCCCCATTTCGATTATTTAATGTCAAATTTTTAGTTTCTCACCTTACCCAAAATATGTATTTGTGAACGAATCGAATAAAGGCATGTTATTATTATTATTATTATTGTTATTATTATTATTATTATTATTGTTATTATTATTATTATTATTATTAATTTAAATATCGAAAAGAGATATCGAGTTGCTATATTCGGGAGGTTCTTGACCAACTATTTGAGAACACCTACCGAGTTTGACCGGTATATTTCTTATATTTATACACTTATTCAGGGTGGGTCAAGGAAGTCGGTTTTTTTTAGCAAAGTTTGGCGATATGTTAGATCCTCAATTTTTAATATTAGAAATTTTTCGTTGCATCTTTTTGATCTTTGGACTATCCTAAAAAAAGTAGTTTTTCAGACTTTTCGAAAGTTGGCTATAACAAAAATTATTGAATTTTAAAGAAGTGTTACATTTATCTCTAAAAAAGGACTTTTTGGGGGTTTCTTTTGAGAATGTGTATTTTTATCATAGTGTTGCATAAAGTGGAATTTCTTTCTCCCGAGAAAAGATTGAAGCACTCATTGAACGTTATACCCTGCGGTGGTGTGCAGTAAAAATTTGCTGCTTCGACATTATTTAATTTAAACCGAATTTATAAATTTGACTATGCAATTAAACAACTTAATGAACAAATCCAAGTTACTACTTTTAATATAGGGGTGTATCCCAGTGGCGTAACACCAAAAGCATCTTTTGGTTTGGTAAGAAGTGCTAATAGCTTGAATATTTTCATTTTTCAAAATACCCTGATGCTGACCAACAGTCCTATTCATCTTTTATCTGGAATTTTTCATTTTTCTCATTCAGCATTGGCGTACGGGTCTTCATTGGAAATGTTTTCCAATAGGTGATAGACTAATATATTTTTAAACAACATCGACGAATTTATTTTTTAACATTAACAATATGAAGACCAGCTTATTACCTAAATTGACGACTCAAGTGGATAAAGGTGTCATGTAACATTTTTTCAAAATTGCTTTTCTTTGCATTGAATTTACCTTTAGTAGTAATTTTTCCATTCTGTGGTTACTTTGTTGCAAAAATAAGATAATAATAAACTAATTAAACTGAAGATTTACAATGCCAATAAAGTAAAAAGTCCCAATAAAATATTTTCTCTATACAGTGATTTTGTTACATGGCCCTTTATCTACTTGTGTTTTCAATTATTTGTTTATGACGAACCTTTTACAAAACAGCAACAAATATTTTAAACAATATTGTTTATTACCTTGTAGGCACATCGATCACAGCCTGGCATCTTTGTGGCATACTTTCCAAAAGGTTAGTCATGAATTCCCGGGATACGTTTTTCCATTCTTCCTAAATGACCTCAGACAGCTCTTCCATTGTATACTGTAAACAATGATTAAATTAATGGCGACATTTGTACTTTTTCTCAAGGCGCGTCTCTTTCCAAACTGAAGTACGCGCGGAAAGGTGGCACTTTCAGCACGGTGGCAGTAAAACATTATTACCACATAACTAACCTGCTATCACTTCAGTTTGGCATTATAATACCGCCAGCTTGTAGTTGATCGTTTTCTATACGAAGCTTTTTACTGAAAATTCTTAAAAGCTGCCGCATAAGCACACACGGGTTTAAATATTCATCGACTAGGCGACATGCCAATATTATAGATGTTCTGGCTTACGGGACGCGAATATGGCTTGCGGACTTGCGAAACGGCTTCGGGTTGTAAATTCCGGCCACCCGTTGCACATCCAGAAGTGCCATAAACAAAGAAAACCGGGGAATTACAGGCAATATCTAGTCCGATGGTCGCCGCTGAGCCGCGTAAGCTCGCTGCTGCAAATGAGACCGTATCTCCGGAAAATTTATAAGTGCCGCTGAGGTATTTGCCTTGTAACTGTGTTCCTTTAGAGAATAAATCTTTGAAAATTATGCTCAGAATCGGATGAGGAGAATGAGATGGTCATAACTAAAGCTTCCCACTGTTAGGTGCAAAGCTTTTATACAGGGTGTTTCAGTTTATTGTTGCATAACTTTAAGATTCGATAGAACTTTTAAAATTAATGCACAAAGTCTATATAAACATGGGTCGAAAAATGCGTGGCTTCCGAAATACAGGGTGTTTAAATTTACTTTCTAAAATAGTTTTTTTAAAATATTTCGAACAATATTTGACGTATAACAGTGAAAATTGGTATACAAGGGCTTTTTGATACGATAAAACGAACCATGGGCATAGTTTTACTGTATCCGCTAGAGGGCGCTCGCTACTGTACCCGTAGTGTATTAAAATGACCGAAAATTTTTTCTTAGTGCAACTTTTTGCTTTTTGAATAAAAAAAACTGATTCTTCGCACTTTCCAACATAAAAAAGCTCTCTTGTGAATTTTCGTTATAGTTAGCCGTTTTTGACATATTTCGATTTTTAAGGTTCGATGGATTTTGCACGAAATTTAGTTTCTTTTACCTGTTTTTTTTGTAAGTTTTATAAAAATGCCATTTTTATTCTCCAATCAAGAGTTAGCGGATATTCATTTTGTATATGGCTTTATAAATGGAAACGCAGCAGAAGCAGCCAGAGAATACGCACGAAGATTTCCAAACAGACGACATCCAACTCGCTCAGTATTTGTAAGAGTGCATCGCCAAATAATTGAAAATGGTTTTGGAAATCTCGAAAGGGATCAAAACATAAATGTTCGTCAGCGCAGATTTACCCTTATGATTCGGCGTGAGTTTGATAGAGGTCCGACCACAAGTGTTAGGAGAGTTTCTGGTGCTAGGAATTTCAGCTTGCCATGTTCACCGTGTTCTTAGAAATGACCATAGACGTCCTTACCATTTGCAACCTGTGCAAGGACTACAGCCAGTGGTCGGAGAACGAAGAATCACATTTTGTCAGTGGATTCTTGATAGAACTGATAATAATAGGGAGTTTTTAACTAACGTTTTATGGACCGATGAGTCATGCTTCACTAGACGTGGAGTGGTAAATTTTCATAATCAACATATTTGGTCGCATGAAAATCCGCATTCAGTTCGGGAAAGAAATTTTCAGCATGAATTTAGAGTGAACGTGTGGATTGGTATCTACCGTAATCGACTATTTGGACCCTACCTTTTGCCTGCAAGGTTAAATGCTGCGACCTTCTTGGAATTTTTAAAGGCTGAACATGCAAATATGTGGGATGATGTTATGTTAGATTTAAGAAGATTGGCCTGGTTCCAGCTTGATAGTTGTCCAGCTCATTATTCGAGAATAGTTACAAACTGGCTGGACGAAAATTATCCAGAAATATGGATCGGCCGTGGAGGACCAGTTGCTTGGCCTCCACGATCCCCTGACCTAAATCCATTAGATTTCTTTGTGTGGGGATTTCTAAAAGAAAAAGTATACCAGACTCCCGTAACCACAAGAGATATGCTAATAGACAGAATCAGGAATGCATGTGATGAAATAAGGCCTTATTTGAATAATGCTATACCACGTTCGATCATTCGTAGATGTGAATTGTGTACTGAACAATTGGGTTTACATTTCGAGCAACTACTTTAGATTTTGTATGTTTGTCCTACCTATCCAATAGCATTTTAGTTGTAAATAATTAATTTAATTTGTTAAAAATAATATTAATATATAATTAATTAATAACAAATTAATATTCTGTTTTTTTTGTGTTTATTTGGAGTTAGGCATTATTGCTGTGTTTAAAAACACAATCTAAACGATCATCTTAATTACTTGTAATGCCCAAATCGAAAATGTAAAAAAAATATTATTTTCCCATAAATAATTAAAAATGCATCGAACCTTAAAAATCGAAATACCTCAAAAACGAAAACTCACAGGAGATCTTTTTTATGTTGAAAAGTGCGAAGTATCAGTTTTTTTATTCAAAAAGCAAAAAATTGCACTAAGAAAAAAATTTCGGTCATTTTAATACACTACAGGTACAGTAGAGAGCGCCCTCTAGCGGCTACAGTAAAATTATGACCATTTTTCGTTTTGTCGTACCAAAAAACCCTTGTATACCGATTTTCACTGTTATACATCAAATATTGTTCGAAATATTTAAAAAAAACTATTTTATAAAGTAAATTTAAACACCCTGTGTTTCGGAAGCCACGCATTTATCGACCCATGTTTATATAGACTTTGTGCATTAATTTTAAAAGTTCTATCGAATCTTAAAGTTATGCAACAATAAACTGAAACACCCTGTAGATAAACAAGGTCAAGGGTACGACAGCGATCGATCGTTGCTGCAATAATATTTTTTGTACTACCTGTACATGTTATTGACTTTTCTAGCACAAAGTCACTATTAGTTTCTCTGTATTCGGTCTATGACCCCCCCCCCCCCTATTATAACTTATAAAGTTAACTTGAGTTCTGAGACAAGGGAGCCAATTCTTGAAATGAGGAAGTAGAATAATCAACAGAAAGTGTTCCATTACATTTCTAACAGGTTTCACTGACGAATTCAGGGAGGGGACGGCTCCTCCCAGAATCGGCTATACTATACCTTTTGTGCAGTGTAAGCCCGTAAGCCCCCCAGGCGAATCGGGTTGCACCATTAATGTGTTTTTGATGTCCGCCTCTCTTCAAGGCATCCTCTCTCAGGAGCACTGATGCAGTTGATCCTTTCCGCCCTTCAACTGTCACAAGTTCATTCGCTCTCAGAAGCACTGATGCAATTTACGACTCCCCTCCCACCGAGATGAACATCTTCCTGAAGACGAAGTATGAGCCGCCCCAAGAACTTTTCTCTCGATACGATCCTGGGTCTCTTGCTAGTACCTAGTAGAATAGAATGCTCTCAAATATCAAAACGTTCCATCACAAAGTTAACTTCGTCGCTTGGAAATGAGTCTCACGGTCGACGGCGAAACTTATTCTCCTGAGAATGTCTCGCAGAGCCACCGCAACCCTTCTGTCAGTATTTTCGTTTCATCATTTCAAGAACTGAAAGGTTTCTAGATTTTGGAAAATAATCCGGTGACACGGAGTTATGAGCAAAACGCAGAAAACTATAAAATGTACGGAAATTTAATTTGAGTCTAGCCAGATTGTTTTCTTGAAGAGGTTACAAGTTTGGAAAAATTCAAAGCTTCGTATTCATGTGCCTTTAATGTTGATCACTTTGGGGCTAGTCAAAATTTCATAAACGGACAGAAAACTTGTAAAATTTGACATTCGTCATTATGAAATTGAATAATCTGTTTTTTCTACGTAGCTCATTCTGATGAGACAACAAAAACACTTAAGAGTTTCAGAATTTCTGTATAAAAATGTAGCTATATTAATGCATGGGAAACACTGAATTAACATATATGACTACATTTAGTGCACTACTTCATCCTCCTTTCTTCTGTATGATATAAGTGCGTGAAAAGCATGTTTTAGCTACTTTCTCTGTTAGCTAGTGCCTTCGAGTAACGGACACTAAGTACAGTATGCAGTTTCACTAGGCTGTAGAACGGCTTTCAGCGATTCATATATTAACCGTGGCCTTCTATCGGCCAATTCCTACAACTTATATTTCCTGTAGCAGCACAAAAGCTTTCCGACATCGCATTATGCGCACTCATGCTCCATGAGCTGCGATGATCCCACTTTCGAACAGCTTTCCAGGCCGGTATCGCCGTTGTTTATTGTCTATTAACGACAAACTCCTTATACATTAAGCATTATGGCACCACTCTCCTCCTTTATGCTTTTTAATACAACGTATAGTCATAATCCGCTGTTAATGCGTCCCAACATGCTTTAAGAATTAATGCTCCTGCCTCTACTAGTCGTGCCGTACCAGATAACGAAAATATTCGTTTTGGTCGCTCTTTTGTGTATCACTTGACTGTGTCTACAGGGTGTTCTGAGTGATATATGATGATGGTTTTATGTATCAGTAGCCAGGAACTTTGTTTATTGTTTATATTTCGTAGTTTTAGTCTTCAGATTATGTTTCGTCGGAGATAGACGGGGCACAGAAATTACAGTTTCAACTTGCGTTGATTTTAATACCCTTATATTTTAAACGTACAATAGTGCACCCTTAAGTGTACCTCAAGTAGAGATATGAAATTTGCATTTCACAGTAATCTGTAAGGGTTGTCATCACACTTTTCCAGAATATTCAAAGTATTTGAAGTTTTCAGTATTTTCTGAATATGAAAATTTTGCATACTGAAAGTTTTGAAAATATCGAAAGATGTTAACTACAAAAACTTTGATAACTTGTTATGACAACTTTTGCAGCGTGAAACATGTAACCTCTACTTGGGAGTCCCTCAAGGTTAAGTCTTGATGAAAAAAAAAGATGAACCCTCAACCGGTACTCAATAATAAACGATCGACTATAAATATGGGTCTGAGGGTTGCACTTTCAGCCGCTCCTATTTCGAAGGAAGGCTTTTTTGGCAATGGGGTTCTTCTAGTCTTTGTGACTGCTTTAGGAAGGCAAAGTTTTGCCTTTCTAAAAGAGAGAAAAAGACTGGAACAAAACGAAGAAGGCCTTGACCAAAAAGGCACCCTTCAAAGTATTATACAGTCGTGGCCAAAGATGAAATATCATACACAGTACCGCATTTTAAGGGTCGTATATGGTCCTCCGAAAGAAACAGTACGTGTCACCATTAATTAACGCATTCGCCAAGTGTGTCAAGCGGAATCGCACAGCAACACTTTGTTGGGCGAGACAGTGGACTACACAGTCGAGCAAATTCGCAAACACAAAAGGCCGCGGCTCGCACTGTAATTAAAATTAATTCGTTAACTTGGAACAACGAAAATTGGAGCGTTTTGACAATGTCCTTAGAAAAATCACATATTTTTAGACCGTATCAAAATCTGTGAACTGATTTTAACGATGCCCAAAAGATTCTCCTTTTCCTCTTTGCTCTCGTTCTTCCTTCTCTGCTTTCCTTCCCTTTTCTCCTTAAAATAGTCTGGTTTCTGGATTACCAGACCTGACAAACGGAGAGTAGCCCACGGATCGCTCTGACAACCAACGATGACTTGACCAAATGTGAAATATGTTAATCAGAGGTTTTCATTAAACACCGACATGGCCATGCCTGATATTGTTTACATCTACTGCACTTCAAATATGAATCTTGTATAGGAAAGCAAATAGGAGCAACTGAGACTGAGAATACGACCCTAACTCTTCAATTCACATCATTTGCTAGCAATTTGGGATGATTAGGTACATATAATATGTTGATGTTGTGTTCAAAACGTGCTCTCATTGCATCAAACTCCATTTTTGCCTATGAGAAATTAAACTATATCGCTGATTTTCAGGATTTTTGTAACTGTTCAATATCTACTAGATTCCGAAAGTTATTTTCTTTAAAAAGGGTTGCTATATATCTACCCATAGGCAATACCTTATGTAGATTTTCCATATTTACTTGCCTATCTTATTGGAGACAAATAAATATTTTAGTGTTATTGTTTACTGTATTAATTTTAAAATATTATTTTTCATTAATATCATTTAATTAATTATATTTCTGTTTGTTACAGGTAAGTCCATTTTCATTCAAAATCCTTGAGGCTGTAAGTACAAATTTCAAAGATACAATGCATGAAAAAATAAGACATTATAAAAATAGAATTCCAGACTTAGCAGCCAACTTTCGAAAACGTCATACAATGACCGAAAAAAAAATAATGTTGTCAATTGATCCATTGCGGAATGCGTTTTGAGATTCGACTAACAAGTTGTGTTGACATTTTATCGCTTTTCTGGACAAATTTGAATATGTGTCAAATGAATATTACCAGAGGCCAAAAGTTGTCAACAATCAGGTGTATTGCGTTTGGTAGGTTTTCCGTCGCTGTTAAATCAAATCACTTGGTAATACAGTAATGTACATGTAGATTAGCAGATATAATTTATACTCTGGAATACAATTTAACTTAATTTTTATCACGCCTAAATTATTACAGACACAGAACCCTCCTCTTATTACAGAATGATGTAATGACACTTGACGACAGACGAATAACTTTTAACCACGTTTCCTGCGACCATTGTATTTATTATAAGATATGGAGATGGATATGAGTCAGCCCATTCATCGTGAAAATTATATGTTCTGCCAGTTCGGAGCACTTTTTGATAACCAAATAAAGTAAACAAACAATGAACCACGAGAACGACAAGTGACAACACCCTGTTCCCTAAGTATTGAGCACGGGAAGAAAAGCGCACTTTTGGCGTTCTAGAAGGATTAGTTTGTTCTACTTCCGTACGTCAAACAATGACAAAACTCTAAATTAATAGTGCGAACACTTTCATCTACCTGATTATTTTATGCGAAAAAATGGCCCATGTTTACGAAAACAATTAAATAGTGGACATAATACTAACACACGGAAAGTGCTAACAAAATGGAGCCACAGCATACAGGTTGAATGCGGAAGGGTTTCCTTTAAAAAATCATCCGACCCCAATAAAAACATGTAAGAGGTGTTTTTTGAGGCTGTTTTTATCGAGAAATCATCAAACCCAACTTTATTTAGTATTTAATGTATCATATATGTAATTCCTATGAAAAGGTGGATTTCTTTATAAGATATTTTTGCAAGTGCCGATGTTAATTGGTAAGATAATTGATAGACCAAAGGAACCAACAGTCGCTGCCGCATCTGTACGTATGACATCTGTACTGTAACTGTATACCAGGTGATGTGCAAAAAGCTTCGGCAAATTGCCTACTCTCTAATTAAACCTGCTCTTCATCTGCCCGCATCACGCTTTTGAATTACTCAATGCTCAACTAAAAAAAACGAGCAGCTTCCGGGAAGTAATTGATGTTGAACATGGTGTCGCGCAGTCGATTACCGGAAAGAAAGCGGGCAACCCTTCATCAGTATAGGCAAAAAGGGCAGCTGTGTCTGCCCTCAACAGCTTCAACAATCAACACCAGCCACCCTTCTTATTACGGCAGAAAACAAAAGAGCGCAAATTGAATCGAAAATGCTGGTGAAGGAAGCTGTGAATTTTTCAGCTCGTTAGTTCGAAGAATGAAGATTTTTTATGAATTGACAGGATGTTTGATTGGGTGGAAAGTAATTTTCTGTTTTATGATTGCAAAAATGTTTTAGGCGATTTTTTGCTCAATACGAAACTGCAACAAAAAAATCTGTCGATTTTTTAAAAGAAACGGAGTTTCATCTCGTTTTTTTCGTCTATTTATTAGAAAAATTGTTGGAAATGAAAGAGAAATTATTTAATTCCTCTATATTTTTCATCGGAGGAACTAGCTAAAAGAATTTAATTTTTATTACGGATACCGATGACCATACATTTCATGTCGAATTGTCAACGTAAAAAAAAGGTTATTTCCCTCACATTTGACGAAAACTTAATCTCCATGACTTAACCTAAGAACCATATAACATAAACTAGGTGTTATGTGCTAAGTTTTACGTTTGAACCCAGGATGGTAAGTTTTAACACTTGTTCACAGAAAAAAGTGAAAGTAATCAGAATATACATTTTTGAGGCAAACTTGATCGGCTGAATTTAATACGCTTAGCTTTTCGTTCTTATAGCCATAAGCAACCATAGACAGCGCTGTTTTGTGCTATTTAGCAACTGATCAGTACAGTTAAGGTCTAGTCTTGGAGATCGACAAACGGAAAGCGAGTCTTTTGAAAAAATAAAAATGTTGCTAAGCCTGATACCATCCTGAGCCCATGCGCTGAAGTGACAGAAGACCCCTACGTGCAGATAGATATTAATGCCACCACCATTGAAACCATCTACACCGTCAAGTAGCCGGAAT